GGGTGGGAATTTAGGGTTTAGGGGTTGAGGGGTTTAGGGCTTTAGGGTTTAGGGTTTAGGGTTTAGGGTTTAGGGTTTAGGTTTAGGGTTTAGGGTTTAGGGGTTTAGGGGTTTCGTGGTTTAGGGTTTAGGGTTTAGGTTTAGGGTTTGGGGCTTAGGGTTCAGGGTAGGTTCTAAAGGTCAGCGTTTCAGGGGCTCCGACTCAGGCTCTGCGTTTAGGGCTTGGGGGGATTCCGATTGCTCTTCGTATCACTTGTTGCAACCACACGTGTTGTTCGAAGGCTTAGGGTTTTGGGGTTCGACCCTAAACCCTAAACCCTTAAACCCTAAACCCTAAACCCTAAACCCATCGCGAAGCTTTGGGATTTCAAAAGCCAGGAACGAAGTGAGGAGAGAGCGTGAGGAACGAATGGAATGAAATGAAAGAAAGCGTACAAGTGAGAGGAACGAGTGCGTGACGCTCTTCATTTCATTCGTTTCGTTCACATTCAACAACTAACTTCTCATTCTATCTTCATATTATAAGGGAATGAACAATTAACTTTTAGGTCATTCCATCCATTACTTATTGACCTAAAATCTTAAGTGTTCATTCATGGTTCGTTTCGCTTACTTCTTTTCTCTTCATTAAAACCACGCATTCGCTCCTCACATCTTTCATTTGTGTTTTAATGGAACAGAACCCTTAGTCCTGGACCTGCCCACGTCTGAGAGGGTTTAGGGTTTAGGGTTTAGGGTTTAGGTTTTAGGTTTTAGGCTAGCACGTCGGGGCTGACGGAACACCCTCCAAGCCCTCACCTCGCATTGTTTCGGTGCTTGGGCGCTTGGGGCTTAGTGCCTAAAGGCGTCAGCTTCGCAGGTTGGGGTTCCCAACCCCTGAGAACCCAATACCCCTTAATTAAGGGATATACCTTAAGTTATAGAGGCCTTAATATTCTGAGTTAAGGTATATTCCTTAATTAAGGGGTATTGGGTTCTCTGGGACTTTAGTCCACGGCCTACGCCCCAAAACGATTCAAGTCGAAACTGTTGCAAGGCTTGGCCCAAAAAGCTGCAGCAGAAGGAGAGCCCGGCAAAACCAAAATCCAATTAAAACAGGCAAACACCACAACACACACACACACACCTATGTATGTATGCACCTATGCATGTATGTATGTAAGTATGTATGTATGCATGTATGCANNGTATGCATGCATGTGTGTATGCATGCCTGCATGCAGATACATATATACATACGTAATCGTCAAGTCTCCTTCCGAACGCCCTGTCGCGATGGAGGCCTGGACGTTTAAGTCTTGGCATTTGTACTAGTAGGTCTCTGAGATTTGCGGCTGGAAGAGTTGAGGGTCTAAAAGTTTGACGCGCTAGCTCTGTGCAGAACCTGTTGTTTCGTTTAAGCTTGCGTGACAGAGTCGGCTGTAGGAGACTTCGGTTCACATGTTAAGGTGCAATGCCCAAGGTTTACAGACGTTTGGGGTTCAGGTTTAGGTGCCCAGACAGGCCTCAACCCTAAACCCTGA